AAGAGGAAGAATCCATTTTCAACTCGTGCTGATAGAAGAATGTGAGAGGGGGCAGAAGAGAGGGAGAGGGAGAAAGCTTGATCCAGTGTGATGCCCTGGTTCCTGGCTCAGGCAACCGGCTATAGGATGGTGTCATTTACTGAGAGGTGGGACTCATAAGGAGTGGAAAGATTGGGGAATAGGATAAACCTGCTCTCTGACAAACCAAGTTTGGGGTGCCTCTTGGAGTTATGATAGAGGGTAGTTTATGGCCCAGTTAACTGTCCATGCTTTGTATATGTGAAAGCATTAATGTCTGAGAAAGATCAAAGGCCTGTCTGACTTGTTCCCATTTGCATCCCAGTGGCGGGTACACAGTGGACCTTTAATTAATATTTGCTGAGTGACTGACTGAATGCATGAATGAATGTGTTTGATAGTGGGAAGGCAGTATCTTCTGAATCCATCCCCTGGGAGCTTGCTGTCTGTCTGAGGAGACAAATGCATAGACAAGCAGTGTCAAACCGCATATTAAATGTTTGAATCGAGGTTGCTGGGCAGTGAGGACTGGGAAGGGAGGGAGCAACTTAGTCTTTGTGCTGGGTTTTAAAGAACATATACAAGTTTTCTAGGCAGAGAAGAGGAAAAGACCTTCCAGGAAAAAGGAATAGACCATCTAAAACAGCAGTTTTCAACCTGTGGGTCGGCGACCCCTTTGGCGGTCAAACGATCCTTTCACAGGGGTCACCTAAGACCATCCTGCATATCAGATATTTACATTACGATTCATAACAGTAGCAACATGACAGTTATGAAGTAGCAACGAAAATAATTTTATGGTTGGGTCACAACATGAGAAACTGTATTTAAAGGGCCAGAAGGTTGAGAACCACTTATCTAAACGCTTAGAGGGGTGAAAGTGTATGGCATGGTTGTCCAGCTAAGGTTTAGTGCAGCTGTGTGTCCAAATGGCAATCATTATGCCTTTTGTCCCCTTATGTGGAAATCTGCCCCATCCACAGCCCTTGCTGAGGGGAAGCTCTGAGTATACTTGCTTTACACAAAATGAAAGTGCTTCTTAGCCACAGGTGGCCACTTGCCCAAGGATTTTGGATTATATTCTGGGTATTTTGAATATAGTGGAATGAGACTCAATCTTGTTAGAGAATGCTGATGTTTTTGTTTTATCAGGCTGTTGGGCTGGTTGGATTTAGGTATCAAATTCCTACCAGTCTTCTGTGGTGGTGGTTTTAATGCCAGTTTTGTTTTCCAGACTTTTGTAATGCTCTCTGTCCCATGTGTGTGCCACCCAGTGGCAAGTCTGGAACCTGGGTGGCTGTCAATTCCATTTTCAAAGTCTTTGGTAGTCTGTTTGTGGTAAGATCTTTATCTGGGCAATTCAGGAGTGAGCGCAGGAGTTCATTAACAACATTTTGGGGTTCCTTTCCTAAGCTCCATCTCTTTGGTATCTCCAGTGCTTCCCTGTTTCCTGGCTTCTCCCTTTTTGATCCTCCAGCAAAAGTTGGGGTGTAACTTACTTACGCTGCCACACACTTACGGCAACAGTGCCCTCATCTGAATTGAAGTGGTAAGAGGACAGAGAGAGAAAAAAAGCAATCGGGGTTTTCCCCATTCTCTTGGGACTACACCTCTTCTGATTAGATAGGACAGTTCCCCTTCTTCAGAGTTGTAGGTTCCTGTAGGTTCCCACTCTGTGGTCATTCCCACTCCTTAAGCCAGACCTGAGAGTTTTCCCCGAGCCCCCCTCTGTCCATGCTGATGTACACTTCTGGGCTTTCCGCTGCCTTGAAGTCAGCCTAGGAATTACTGGAGGGGGAAATGGTAAACTCCCCCAGTTTGCATTCTGGTCTTTTCCCTCCACCCAACTGCTGCTACTACTATCACAGCCCTTAGAAAGCTGCTGCTGCATTCAACTTGGGTCTTTCACCGCTGCACTTGGTGGGAGAGGAGCCATGGTTTCTCCTCAGGGACTTCCGCTGTGTGTATGTTGGCAAACTGTTACCTGTCTTCTGTCTGTACCTATTAGTGCTCTTAATCTCGTAATCACTTTCTTAACTTATTTCATTATGTTTACTTATCTCGTGTTTATCTTCTAGATGACTGTGCTTTCTGTTCCTCGTTGTACTTCGTCTTCATTCCTGTTGTGATTTTTCTTTTACTTCTATTTCTTTTCTGAGTTTTACTGATTCTCATTTTCATCCCTGCTATTGTCTGGTCAAATCATTACTGAATTATTGTATTTTCTACTTTACAGTGTTTTTAGGGGCAGTTGCTTCATATTTTTAAGTTCATGGTGGTATCTTTGGATATATGTTTTTATTCAGTTCATGAAAATATATTTCTGATTAGTGCAGCGGTTCTCAACCTGTAGGTCGCGACCCCTTTGGCGGTCAAACGACCCTTTCACAGGGGTCGCCTAAGACCATCCTGCATATCAGATATTTACATTATGATTCATAACAGTAGCAACATTACAGTTATAAAGTAGCAACAAAAATAATTTTATGGTTGGGTCACAACATGAGGAAATGTATTGTATTTCTGATTAGTGCAGCGGTTCTCAACCTGTGGGTCCCGACCCCTTTGGCGGTCGAACGACCCTTTCACAGGGGTCGCCTAAGACCATCCTGCATATCAGATATTTACATTATGATTCATAACAGTAGCAACATTACAGTTATAAAGTAGCAACAAAAATAATTTTATGGTTGGGTCACAACATGAGGAAATGTATTTAAAGGGCCAGAAGATTGAGAACCACTGGATTAGTGTTTTCTATAGAAATTATTCATCCTATTTTCATGTTTAAATGTATATACTATCTCTATTTAAATATTGTATTAATTGCTTTTTTAACTTATATTTGAATGAGTTAAGTTTTTCTCTATCAGTTATTTGCAGAAATTTCCTGTTGACACTGGGTAATGGAGGGACAAGAATAGCCGCCCATGGTGTGCAGTTCAAGGGTTCCCTTTCCTGTTTCTAGAAAGATGGGCTGTGTCCTTCAAATATGATGTTTTTAACTATGGGTGCCTCCCCAAACCCATGCAAGTTCAAGAGGGCTCGGTCCCTTCACGGAGCACTGCCAAGGGACCCAGCCAGTGTCTTTCAGTGTCATCTCCTCACCTTCCAAATGGGTTATTTCTGAGTTCTGTCCCTCATAAGCCCCTGTAACTACTCCTTCTTTCACGGAGCTCTCACTGAATAGCCTTCTGTGCAGCTGCTGCCTTTGGACACATGTGCACATAGTTTTGAGTTTGAAGCATTTCGCTGTCTCCTGTATTGCTGAAAATTAGATTTTAATTCCCTTTGTTGTTTGATGTTCTTTATAGTTTCAAAAATGAGAAATGGGAATCACTTGAGGTCCTCAACTAAAGAGCTACTGAAAGATGTGTGCTTCCTTGAGAAGAGATAGTATCTCAGAAGGAAGGCATGGTATGCCAAGAGTACAAAAATATATTAGTAAATACGTTTTTCACTTTAATTAATTTTTTGTTTAAG